GTTGGACTAGAAGACCTCCAAGGTTCCTTCCAACTCTGCTATTGTATTGTATGTATTCTATTCTATGGAGGTAAAAGTAGGCAATATTCCAGCTTCAAATACTTTCTCTCCTCACTTACCATATTTAATTAGGCTGGGTATAATTTGGCTGAAATATGGTTCAACCTATTGAATGGAAAATTAGCTCCTTGTATATATTTCTGTATTTTTAGTGCAACTGGTGTTGAGATTGTTGAATATTTTACATGTCCACTTGAACCTTTCAATTAGTTCAGTATTCACTATATGTAAATTTAAAAAATCATGAACTTACTAGAGAGCCCTTGTAAGTATTCATTTACAAAGGAATATTTATTTTAGAAGCAAACAAATAATATACAGCCATCTTTCTCATTTATTAACCACACAGGTTCATCAGGCTTCTTACAGTCTGTTTTATTTCTTTTCTCATTTAAAATATAGCACTGAAGTTCTCAATACAGTACATATAAATATCCCTATAATTTCTTAACACACTTTCCAGACATCATTAAAGTGCCTAATAGTGAAAACATTTCCCCTAAGAGTGTCTGTTTTTAAAAAGGATATCTTATTTAGATGTACATAGGTAATGGTTTTATGAAAGTAATTCTGCTAACTAAAATTGACAAAACATTTTTCACTCATTGTGTTGAATTGAAAGCAATCATTTTACAAGATATTTTTCAAACACATTATTTGAGCAAGATACAGAGTATAAGCTAAACATTATTTTTATGCACCCATTTCTGCCCCCCCAACTGTTTTCCGTGATCCAAGCTGTTGATTAAAAAACCAACTGGTGCAAAGCTCTAGAAATGCATGCAAGTTAAAATTTGCTTAACACACATTTAATTTAAGGAGTCCAAGGACTAAGTGTTGCCTCTCTTTATGGTTCAGCCGCAGTTTTAGCTGTGCAACTTTCTTTAGCAAGATTTGAGACTACGTCTTCTTCTTTAGATCCAGGTTGTTCCATTTCTATTTTGATTTGCTCCTTGACATTTTCATTATTTATATCCTTAGCAAGATTTTCCACCGTAGGATCAATCTCCATTTTTTCCTGTGACAGTGGACTACTTTCATGGAAAGATGGCTGACATTCATCTCCTTGAGTGGTCTCTGGAACATCCTCTGCTTTCTGTTCAAGTCTTTCCAATATATTCTGGACTTTTCTTACACCATCTCTCCTGGCCTGCCGAACATCTGCACGACCCTCAGGGTCCACAGAGTCCAAGGCTAAGAGCTCTTTGGTCAAGTATTCTTCTATCCACCGGTACTTTTTGTCGTTTTTCTTTCCTTGAAAGGAATAAACTTCATGCTCTAGGATTTGTACCCTATTTAGAATAGCTTCAACCTTCAAGACCCCTGGGTGTTTCTGAGGCTCATCTACTTCCGAAGTCTTCTCTGATTCATGTTCCTGTGGTAAAGATTTCTCTTCTATTGGAACAGCTTTATCAGGGCATGGAATCTTGTTATCAACATGTTCGACTGTAGGAAATGGTACCTGCTGGGCTGGCTTAGTATCTACATCTGGACGTACGACTTGAATGGGAGAAAATGGTACCTGCTGGGGTGGCTTAGTATCTACATCTGCACGTGTGACTTGAATGGGAATACTTTGGACAGGACTTTCTGTTGCAGGTGAACCAGCCTTGTTTTTAAGCTTGGTATCAGGGGGCAGAGGTGGTGGTGCTTCTTCAGTTGGCACTTGTTGCTGAGAAAGAGGAGAACAAGCGGCTTATTATTAGGAAACACAAATTATTATTATTATTATT